ATCTTTATCACGCACACGCATTTTTTTCACAGGTGCCACTTCGTCCAGTATATTGTTCATAAGTGCATTCCACACGTAAACTTGATCGTCGACGTCATCAAACAGTTGTCCAACGTGCCATGGGGCAGAGGACAAAAGCTGTTTATAATGTTCAGGGTCAAAGTTCTTATAGCTCCTAAATGTGATGACCTTTGGTTTGTTGTGATTTATTTTCTGCTTCAGGACACCGTAAACAAGGTCGTGATCACTTAAGCAAGGATGGTAATTACCAGATAGCTGAAAGCTATCCGGTCTATTAGTGAGCAAAACATCTATTAAACTCTCTGTTATAATTATTCCACGCTTTTCTATTCTTGTTGGCTTAGTAATTAGACATTCAAAACCTTGTTCAACTTCCAAATCGAGAAGCAGTTTACCTTCAGGTTTGTCAGGGCGAAGTCTGTTCAGATTTAGGTCGCCAGTAACTACAACAAAATTTCCGTTCAAGCTTGCCCAGTTACAGACATAACTGAGTTCGCTTTCCAACAGTGTTTGATATTCGCCACACAGAGCTCTCGGGGGACGATAAATACCAACAATTACCATATTGTCCATATCTGTTTTGATTTCGAAGGCAATTATTTCCAGTGTCTTAAAGGATTTATCAGGTTTAAGCTGTGTCCTGACTAGCGATTGAGATATTAAAGCCATAATTCCACCGCCGCCCTTTTTCCTATCATTTCGGTAGAGGGAGTAGTTCGGAACTTTGAACTGAGCGTTGGGATAGCTCGCGTCGATCTTGGTCTCACTTACGAACATTATGTGGGCGTTGATTTTCTTGATTACTTCGGTCAGTTCTTCAAATTTATTTTGGATGCTGTTAATGTTCAAGTGGGCAATTAAGAAATCCTTATTGTGATGTTTCCTAAAGAGTTCTAGCTGATCGTTTTCAGAAGTAATTTCTGTGACATCTCTGTAGAGAAACTGCTCGAAGGCCGTATTTTGAGTTGTTTCCGCTTGATACTCCTCGGCTGGAATTAGTGTATCACCTTCAGAAACTTCTTCAAAGAAGGAGTCCGTTAGTGGCGGTAGAGCACAAGCTGGACAGGTCCAATCAATATCAGGCTGGTCTAAGTAGTACTGGAAAATAGTCCGAGACATATTGAGGCATTTAGCGTGTGACCAGTTTCCACATGTGGCACACAAGATGGCGTTTTGGTTGTTTCTAACTGCTTTGTGGCATTCACTGCATGGGTATTTCAACATAGACTTCTTCCCTTTCGGGCCAGGATTTATGGCCACGTCCCCGCACAGAAGCACATCCCTTTCCAGATTGAAGCTGCTTATTCCTTTGACCGTGTGTGGGACCCTCCGTGAAGTAAATCGTTTAGCACGAGGTTTAAATCTTCTGTGGTTTGTCAAATATGAGACGAATTCAGGTGCAATAAACGTCTTTGAGACGCTTGTAGCCTGGTAAGACCCTAAAAAGTCGCCACTTATACTCTCTTGGATTAAAACTGCTGTTCCAAGCAGGAGTACTAGAAATTGTAGCGAGCTCGCCCAGGTCGGTCCAGCCGCCATGACAGCTATTGTTTGATGATGTGTGTATAGAATGTCCCTTTTTATAGAATGTCCCTTTTACTCTTGTAGATCGGAGTACTTTTGAGTGGTTCTCTACATCCAAAAATATATGTACAATTAAGTTAAAAATTATGATTACCCACCAGTTCTAGTCCTACAATTATGTAAACATTTGCAGTTAATTCAATCTCCTCACCAATATATTCCACAGTTCCTCTGGCTGGACTATCTTTAATAAATGTCACAATTCTGTCACAAATCTTAAGCACTCCATCAATTCCTTGAAATGACCTTGGCATTTGTTTTCCTTTCCAAAATGACAGTATTGAATCATGAAGACTTGATTTTAGTTTGGCCTGAATGTGCTCACCTTTTTTTGTAATTTTTGAAGATTTCAAGTCATCTTCATCTTCTCTAGGCATCAATTCCTTTAGTGTAACAAAAATCCCACAGTCTGGCTCACAGATAAAGAATTGCTTGCCTCTAAATATTCCATCACATGTTCCAAACCCTGGATGTCTCTAGATATGTTAAACCCCAGATTGTAATCATTAATATTGAAGATAATTGTTATCATTAACCATCATTATGACTTTCATCAATATCATTATCATTATCATCACCATGGTTGCCATCATAATCAATGAAAAATTATATCCCATACCCACTGTTCAGCATCCAGTGTACAACATACATGTACACCATACTACCGAGAAAGCAGGATTATAAAATCTTACCGGTAAACATGACATTATTCTTAATTAGAGATGACAACTTGCACATGACTGTCTGAAGGGTAAGTTTTACCATTACATACTATTAAATAAATCATTTAAATCCCCCTTCAGTCTTTAGAGTCTCCTAGGAAGATGGGCATTGAAGAGATTAAAAAAAGACTCACGAGATGTAAAAGCAAGCTTAACTCGGTGTAACATGCATGGTACCTCAGTTGTGTTGCTGTCTGAACGAAATTTACACCAGGTAAATTGTTACAGCCAACAACACGACTTTAACTAGTGCACGAGTACTTACGATGAGTTCAACTCCAAACCAAGTTCCCAGACAGGGTGGTAATATACCTTTGTACCAAACAAAACCAGGCAAAAACTCTGAAACTCCCATCACTTCAACGAAAACAGTACTTCCTTGTGACAATTGTCGGCCAAATGCCATCTTCTTTCAGCTGAAGTAATTGCTAAAAGCAAGTTGGCTTCTTCCTCAGATAGTCGAGTCATATCCTCCGTAGGACATTCAAGACGTAATGATTTACGTTCAATTCCAACAACAGCCACTTTAGTTAAGTCTGTAGGCTGTTCAGCCTCAGGAACACTTTCTAATAACTCGCCTCGCAAAACTTGCACTGGTGTAGACTTCGTCGTAAGGCCGAGGGACAAAATGTTTTTTTCAACTGTGTGTCCGACACGATCACGTAGAAGAATATACTTAATTCTGAGTTCTTCCATTTCTTGTCGAGGATACAGGAACGACGATTTCACCTTCACTGTAAACAAACCATGCACTGATCACAATGAAAATGGAGGAACAACGCCATCTTTTCTGGGAATTTCCCTTGCCTCGTTCCTATGAATAGGTATGAGCTATTTTAAACTTAACATTACGTATTCTCCTAAATCTTCCTTGTGATTATGGTTTTATGTGATCCGTACCTGATTTCGATTTCTAATGAATACCTTTAGATCATTCTACACCCATAAGTCAACTAATTTTTAAAAGAAAGTTCCTTTGAAAATTGCAACCAAGTCAAAGCAGAAGATCATCACACTCGTAGGCGGACTGCAGAACCAGCGCGTCACAGCCGAGATTTATCTTTCTTCTGCAGCATCACCATTGCTTTCAAATTTTCAAATCGGGTCACAAATATTTCAAACTATTTTCACTTTCCAAAGAATTTTCATTTTTCGCATGTTCAAGCTTGTTTTACTCACATTTTGGGTTCCAAGCCGCGGAGAGCTAGGTGCCCCTTTACGAGTCTTTCCTGATTTCCTAATAAAATACAGCACAATCCACTAATTCGAACCCCCGAGTGAAATGGAAAATAGTTCGAGTCCGCGGGGATTTGAGTTATCTGTTGGCCTGTCCCGATTGTGCCCAGGAGCTTCGGAGCAACTTTTGACGTTTGGGGCAACTGTTTGCAGTTCTAGCAACCTAGAGAAATGTTTGCCTTTCCGATCAATTATATATTTAGAGCATGTATCAAGTACGAGAAAGTCATCTATTTGATAGAAAACTTCTCTATCTGCGAATTTCTTGAATGTCAAACACCCTTTTAACACAGCCTGTCACTTGACCACGTTTCGCTGGCCTATTGCGATCCTTGTATGTCGTCCGTGCCCAGGGGTGAAGAGTTTGAACCTTGCCCGGGTGGGGTGGAGAATTTGAACTGGAACTGTCAAGTTTGAAGCGGGACACAGATGTTTTATTTTTTAATATGGACGTGTTAAAAGGTAAAGAGTTCACTTTCACCTTAAGAGAAGATGGCTCAGAAGTTAGGTCTATGACAAAGTTACGGGCCTCTCAATCGTGGAATTTGAGAATTTTTTTTAATCTTTGAGATTAAATGCATTTATTTGCACCTTAAACTTGGAGAGAAAACTAAATGACATTGACCAATCACATAAGTTTAATGAAATAAAGTGTAACGTCTCCCTTCGTTCATGGGGAATAATGCCTTTACAAAGTTGATACAGCGATCTAAACAGCGTACACAACAACAGAACTTTACTCGCTATTTTATCCTGAGTGTCTGTATTTAAGTCTAACCCTAAAAGATTATTGTACATTGAAATAATAACAGCGTGAATTTATTAAACATTTGGTTGATGTATGGTGTGTGATCCTAAGGTCAGTCCTCTGAAAAAGAACCAACGCTGAGATTTTTGTCAAACTCTACCCATTGGGTAGTTCACCTTGAAGGAATGTAAATTTTGAAAAAAAAAAAGGTCCCAGTTTTCGTTTAGGAGCTGCATTACCTAGTATACGTACCATATGATTGCTAAGATTATTTTATTTTATTTTCTTTAGCTCACGCACTTTGTTTTTATTTCTTTTATTCATTTATTTTTTCGCTAAGCATTATGGTATTGCGCAAGTTTAAGTTCACGCGGCCTCGGCCAAAGTTCAATTAGAAGTAATAAGTTCATTTAGGAGTAAGAAGTGCTTTAAGTTCGCCATCAAGTTCAAGTTGACTGACGCCTTTCCTTTTAGTATTTTCACTGTGTGGGTCAGATATGTGAGTGTTTTGTTTCTTTTTTATTCTAATGTAGTTACAATTGATTAATTTAGTGATTACACGATCCATTTCTAATTCAAGCCTTTTGTTATTATTTCCCTCGTGCATATGTTAATAAGTAGTCCGTTCCAAGCGTTACAAGTTTATAATCTTATCTAGTTCAAAGTATCAGTTGTCAAACCAATCACACCAATCGCACGCCATTGATTCAAACACGCGACCGAAAATGATTCAGCTTGAACTAGGGAATATAAAATGGCATCCCACTGATTTCAAACCTTACCAAAAATGCGACAAGGGTCTTCGTTTACGATCTAAATCAAAATGGGAGGGCACTTTGTAGAACTGAGCTACAAAAGGAATCATAAAACTTATTTGTTCATAAAACTCTTTCTACATAACACTTAAAGGAAAACCTCCCACGTAGTAAACGCTTTTAGTTGACGATACTCCTATCATTTTCCATTCCTTTGGAATTTCCTGTATTTCTCCCATTCTGAATAATGAAATTAACTTTTGAAACCTATCAATCTAATAATGTCTTGTGATTTCCAGGGGGGAAACACACAAGAGATGTCCTCCAGTAGCATAAGTACCACTGCAATTACATTGGTAATAGCAGAATTACGTTAATTCTGTTAAAAGCAAAACCAACCAAACCTATTTTAAACGGGTTCCTCAAGTTCATCAATGATCTCCTGTATGCTTGGTCTCGCCTCAGGCTCTCGTTGCAAACATCTCCGGATAAGGGCTCGATTCAATTTGTTTTTAACCATGGCGACTTGCCGATTACGCCTTTCTGGATTTGGCAATTCCCGGATGCACATCTCACAGAGGAGGACACCAAAACTGTACACATCAACCTGAACAAGATAAGGGACGAAAATGAGAGGAAATACAGCACTGCACTAGAGTTTCTTACGTCGAATGAGTCAAAATGTCTCGATCCATTTCTATCTCGAGATAAGCGGTCACACTTGACTATATAGACCCCATGGTAGAAAGGTTTAATATTCCTTTGTATTCAAGTAGATAAGCCCAACTAGCATTGTCAGTATGTCCTTGGAACAATAAAAACCTTACCTCAAAGATCAGACTAGTTAGGCAAATATACATGAGCACGGTATGATACCAATCCGGCCTGTCAATTATGCATACTGTCTATTTTATGTTAACAAAATAAAAAATGCTGACCTACTAGCGATATTAACAAAATAAATATTAATGTCCGTTACCTTGAGTTTAAGGTGATTCATACAATTACATGCACGTGAAATGCACGCACATATACAATAAACAAATTACAGCTAACCTTGACCGTTTGCTTTTTAGTAAGTGCTTCAGGAGCACTGTATATCATGGCACCAGGAGCAACTGTCATGGTCCGTTGCATAAAGTTGGCAGTTCCATAATCTGACACTTTGCCTCGCCAATGTTCACCCTGTCGCCAAAGTAGCACATTTGCACTGCTGATGTCGCGGTGAATAATAGGAGATGGTTGCTTTTGGTGAAGGTAGTTTAGCGCCCGAGCCACATCCAGGGAAATAAAAGACATTTCAGCCTCAGAAAGAGCTCTCTGTTCCAACAGAGTGCGTAAACTTGTTTCCATAAGCTCTGTTACAAACAATGGATTCCCTTCGTCATTTGTAGCTCCGATGAACTGCAGCAAGCAAGGGTGGCGGCATCTTGATGCAATATCCATTTCTCGCTCAAATAATTTGCGGTTGTGAGGAGAGAGAATCAACTCATGGATCTGTTTCACTGCAACAGAACAACCACAATATTTGCCTTCGACAACACTTCCCCAGCCTCCTCTGCCGAGAAACCTACCCGTCAGCTGAATGTGATCCCGTGAAATGACCCACTCAGGAGACTGTTGTCGTTGATATTCACGTAACTCATCCTGAGCTGTAGACAGAGTTGTTTCCAATTCATTCATTTCCTGGTCTTTTTCCTCCAGTTGTTGCCTTAGGGCAGTAGCTTGATTCTGTAAATTTGCAGTTTCTTCATTTTTTTCTTGTAGCTGCCCTCGGACAATCGTCATTTGCTGAGTTACATCTCTCAGTTGTCGTTGATGTTCACGTAACTCATCCTGAGCTGTGGACAGAGTTGTTTCCAATTCATTTATTTCCTGGTCTTTTTCCTCCAGTTGTTGCCTTAAGACAGTAGCTTGATTCTGTAAATTAGCAGTTTCTTCATTTTTTTCTTGTAACTGCCCTTGGACAATTGTCATTTGCTGAGTTACATCTCGCAGGTTTGTCAGCTGCTGCTCTATCTCATCTATCTTTTCATGTAAGCTGGTCTCTCTCAACTCTTTCTCTCGTAGTTCTGCTTGCAAATGTGTCACCTTTTCCTCCAGTTCTCTCACCAGCCTGTGAACGTTTCCTCCTGGTTCATTTTCCTTCATAAGTCGCCTGTCTGTTTACAAGAGGAGAAATCCGTCTTCAATTTTTTGTTAGTTTAAGAGCAAAATGAGGAACCTGTGCCGAGCCGGAAGTGGAAAATATATACTTTTATTTACTAGTTGAATTCTTTTCCATTTCCACTCCGCAATTTCACTTGACTTTCTATCTGAGACAAATTTGGCTGTTACCACAGATCCATTATTTCTATGTGCTCCTTGCTCTAACTGCTTCACTTCATCTTTAGATTTTGGTGATCTTGTGCTACGACGTACCCATAACTTAACGAGGAATAACACTTAAGGTGATTTCTCAGAAGTGTACTGCACATCCTGGGTGGGCCACTTGGCTTGAGTAGACTTTACCTTTAACCTTACAGTTGTGATACAGTTTCGCATTAAAAAGGGTTCTCCTGCATCTTACTACAACTTCTCCCGCTTTACAAGCTTTAGAAAATGTTCACTTAAAATAACTTGGAAAAATGTATAGGTCTAGTCAAGCCTAAAAGCAAAGGCCCGGATTTTTTTTTTTTTTTTTTGGGAGTGCACATCTCATTTGTGTTGTTCAGCCTGGCTTGCTTACCTTTTTCAGCATTTAAACAGACATCAGTGGTTGGTGAGTTAGCAAAGCGGGAATCTGGTCGGCAATTCTCCAGTAAAAGAAAGAAACCTCTTCCTTTTGGGCAGGTGAAATATCTTTTTTTATTAAAAGTCCCATCTGAACACCCAGACTCCTCCTCTTCCTTCAAGGAAAGAAAGTATAGATAAATGTTGGTGATACAATAATTAATAATAAAGTGCTAAAAAGGTAAAATATATCGTTTACTGTAATTTTTTTCATTCTGTCTGAGCCTGATAAATCTCACTCACCAATTCCAGACCTACTACCACCTTTTTCCTCACTAGTGGCATATTTCCCATCCAGCGAATGACACCATATCTTGGAACACCAACCGCCATAGGAACCTCTACCTTAGATCCAACCTCTAAACCATAATGGTTATCACCTGACACGACGCCATTGCCACCTGCAGGAAAAATTTCACTATTACAACAATTACTGGTCACTGGCAAAATAATGCTTAACCAGTTGCAAACCGTCAACAATTTGAGCCTTACTACAGTTGTGATGGTGGAAGACATGGTGGCCAACTAGTAAACTAAATCATCTTCTGTGTCTTTGCATCAATTCACAATTTAAAACTGCTAAACTAAATATATTCTGTAGTAAATAGCTTAATTCTGAAGATGACTTGAGGCATCTCTTGATGCTTCCATACATGTGGGGATCAGTCACCAGCAACACTACAATACATGCACTGCCATTAACATTCTACAACAGAAGTGCATAATACAGTTGAACCTGTATTAAACAGTCACCCACAGGGAATAGCAGGGTGACCACTTAATTCAGGGTGACCACTTAATAAGGGTTGACCACTTAATACAGGGTGACCACTTAATAAAAGTTCAACAGAAAAAGGGTTTTGTACAAAATGCCATTTCATTTTACAGTTGACCACTGATTCTACAAAAACTTGCTAAAAAATATTACTAAAATTGATTTGGTTTGTATGAGTATTTTTTTGTATGAGTGGTCCTGCTTTAAGTGATCATTCAATACAGGTGGAAAGCAATACAAACATGCCACTGGGACTCGATTAAAGGGTGACACAACCAATTAAAAGAAATGAAAATTGCAATGTTAAAGGGGGAAAAAATTTTGGAACTTTGTCTGTAGTAACAAATCAGCATTGAATTATACATTTAACTGATTCCAAAAAATTAACAAAAATATATTGAAAACCACCCAGTTCCCTTGTTAACTGCCAAATCATCTCTAGGCAATGCAGATGCATGTGAGTGTGCATATGGCTTTTCTGAAATGTCTTTGGAAGACATTTCCTATTCCATTTTCCCTTCCACCATAGCTTCCACAATTTCACTGGTCTTTCTTTCTGAGACAAATTTAGCTGTTGCCACAGGTCCATTAATTCTATGCGCTCCTTGCTCTAACTGCTTCACTTCATCTTTAGATGTTAGTTATAGATGAAAAGTTTCATGTGTGGCAGGTTGTACATGTTCCTTACATTCTACTGTCCAAAGAAATCACCATCAAAAATTATTATCATCTCAAATGGATATCTCTTTGTTGGCTCAAAAGTTTCTTCTACCTAAGGAAAATTATTTATCACTTGTTTTCACACTAAGAGGATAAAACAAACAGCTTGCCAAATGAGGTTGATTTGCATTTCCTTTGTTTAATAATTATAAGATTAAATTACATATACATGAAGGTTAAATTGTCTGGCCCCCAATTAATTTTAAACTATGATATACCCACAATTTACTGAGGAATAACACTTAAGGTGATTCCTCATAATTTTACCGCACATTCTGTACTGCGAATTAAAATCACATAATCAGTCAAATGAGCACACCTGCATCCTTATAACACAATATTGTTTTCCAATCAATGGACCAGGTAAAAAGGTACAATGTTCTGAAGCTCTTGAACCAGCTGGGTGACCTATATTTTTAATGCATAGTTTTGGTAAAGAAATTATCTATGTAGCCAAAACCTAAATTTCCTTCTCTTTGTAGTCACTGTGTTTGAGAATTAATTCAAAGGTTAGCAGGGCTTGAACATTTTGAAACTGGTAGTGAGATGGGATGCAGTATGTGTATTTCATGTTTTTCCAATATTTCAAAATGGCTTTCCATGTAACAATGCTTCACTACATGAAGAGGGGGTCAAGTTGTGAAATGAGTATCAGTCAATAATTCAGTCGCATGTGCTGAAACATAAAGGAGAGTATGAATCTGTGGATGCAGTGTTGTTTGGTAGTTCATTATTAGGGTTTGACTTCCATTTAATTTATATTAGTCTATGCCAGAAATGGACTATAAATAAGACAACAAGTGTAGATCTTAGTGATAACAACTATTTTGGTGTCCCTCAAGAACAATATTCAATATCTGCATATGAAAAATAAATAAATAAACAAACACATGTCCACATCTTAAAATAAAAGTATTGTGCAATGCATGATTGGAAGTTTGTAAGTGGTAGGTTGTGGCTTAAATGTACGTTGAATGTGAAACATTTGCCATAATTATCAGTACATGTAAACAAATTTGGCTTGTTTACCTTTTTCAGCATTCAAACTGACATCAGTGGTTGGTGAGTTAGCAAAGCGGGAATCTGGTCGGCAATCCTCCAGTAACTCAAAGAAACCTCTTCCTTTTGGGCAGGTGAAATATCTTTTTTTATTATGAGTCCCATCTGAACACGCAGACTCCTCCTCTTCCTTCAAGGAAAGAAAGTACAGAATAAATGTTGGTGATATAATAATAAATAAAGTGCTACAAAATAAAATCTATGGTTTACCACAATGTTTTTACTCTGGCTGAGCCTGATAAATCTTACTCACCAATTCCAGACCTGCTACCACCTTTTCCCTCACTTGTGGCATATTTCCCATCCAGCGAATGACACCATATCTTGGAACACCATCCGCCATAGGAACCTCTACCTTAGATCCAACCTCTAAACCATAATGGTTATCACCTGACATGACACCATTGCCACCTGCAGGAAAAATTTCACTATTACAACAATTACTGGTCACTGGCAAAATAATGCTTAACCAGTTGCAAACCGTCAACAATTTGAGCCTTACTACAGTTGTGATGGTGGAAGACATGGTGGCCAACTAGTAAGTGTGCTGGACTCTGGGATGAGAGATCGAAGGTCCCAGTAACTACAAGTAAACAGGCCTATAAAGCAGTTCTGTTTTCATTCAAGATGGGAGTTCCAAAAGCTTTGAGAATTATACAATAAAGCTATCAGCTAAAGAAACAAAGTGGACTGGTTAGGGTGTCAGAGCTTACTTCTCAATTCTCTTACTTATAATTTTAAAATATGGCGTTAGGCCTGCTAAGTTAGCAGAAACATCAAGAACAGGCCCCTGGCCCAAGGTGTTGCGATCTTGGGCAAAACACTTAACTCTCAAGGTGTCTCTCTCCACCCAGGAGTATACATGTTGTAAATGGGTACCAGTATATTGTCAGGGAAGCCTGATAAAATACTGCAGGTACCATCCCATCCTGGGGGGGAGAAGTGATGCTGCTAGTCACTTCACACTAAGGAAACCAGAATAAGCTCCTGCTGGGCGGGCCACTTGGCTTGAGTACAGACTTTACCTTTAACCCTACTGAATGATAAACTTTCACATACAAAAGGCACTCCTACATCCTCTCTCACTTTAGAAGCTTTCACAAAATTTTCCCTTATAATAGCGTGGAAAAATGTCAAGGTCTGGTCAAGCTCAAAGGCAGAAGCCCAGATGTGTTTGTTTTTTCCTTTTTTTTCGGATGTGCACATCTCATTTCTGTTGTTCAGCCTTGTTAGAGTAGGTACCCACTTGAATTAATTCATAAAAGCTTTGTGTGTCAGTTGTGCATTTTCTCTATTCTTCAAACATATTTCAGAAGTAGCTAAGAAACACATCAATACTTAATAGAAATAAAAAGTATTGTAACAGGTCCCCTTATATCCTTTGACTTGAGAGTATCAAAGGGAAAATAAAATAAGCAGAATAGGGGAGAAACATATGGCCCAAAAGCACTGTAAACTAAATCATCTTCTGTGTCTTTGCATCAATTCACAATTTAAAACTGCTAAACTAAATATATTCTGTAGTAAATAGCTTAATTCTGAAGATGACTTGAGGCATCTCTTGATGCTTCCATACATGTGGGGATCAGTCACCAGCAACACTACAATACATGCACTGCCATTAACATTCTACAACAGAAGTGCATAATACAGTTGAACCTGTATTAAACAGTCACCCACAGGGAATAGCAGGGTGACCACTTAATTCAGGGTGACCACTTAATAAGGGTTGACCACTTAATACAGGGTGACCACTTAATAAAAGTTCAACAGAAAAAGGGTTTTGTACAAAATGCCATTTCAGTCTACGGTTGACCACTGATTCTACAAAAACTTGCTAAAAAATATTACTAAAATTGATTTGGTTTGTATGAGTATTTTTTTGTATGAGTGGTCCTGCTTTAAGTGATCATTCAATACAGGTGGAAAGCAATACAAACATGCCACTGGGACTCAATTAAAGGGTGACACAACTGCTTAAAAGAAATGAAAATTGCAATGTTAAAGGGGGAAAAAATTTTGGAACTTTGTCTGTCTGTAGTAACAAATCAGCATTGAATTATACATTTAACTGATTCCAAAAAATTAACAAAAATATATTGAAAACCACCCAGTTCCCTTGTTAACTGCCAAATCATCCCTAGGCAATGCAGATGCATGTGAGTGTGCATATGGCTTTTCTGAAATGTCTTTAGAAGACATTTCCTTTTCCATTTTCCCTTCCACCATAGCTTCCACAATTTCACTGGTCTTTCTTTCTGAGACAAATTTAGCTGTTGCCACAGGTCCATTAATTCTATGCGCTCCTTGCTCTAACTGCTTCACTTCATCTTTAGAAGTTAGTTATTGATGAGAAGTTACATGTGTGGCAGGTTGTACACGTTCCTTACATTCTACTGTCCAAAGAAATCACCATCAAAAATTATTATCATCTCAAATGGATATCTCTTTGTTGGCTCAAAAGTTTCTTCTACCTAAGGAAAATTATTTATCTCTTATTTTCACACTAAGAGGATAAAACAAACAGCTTGCCAAATGAGGTTGATTTGCATTTCCTTTGTTTAATAATTATAAGATTAAATTACATATACGTGAAGGTTAAATTGTCTGGCCCCCAATTAATTTTAAACTATGATATACCCACAATTTACTGAGGAATAACACTTGAGGTGATTCCTCATAATTTTACCGCACATTCTGTACTGCGAATTAAAATCACATAATCAGTCAAATGAGCACACCTGCATCCTTATAACACAATATTGTTTTCCAATCAATGGACCAGGTAAAAAGGTACAATGTTCTGAAGCTCTTGAACCAGCTGGGTGACCTATATTTTTAATGCATAGTTTTGGTAAAGAAATTATCTATGTAGCCAAAACCTAAATTTCCTTCTCTTTGTAGTCACTGTGTTTGAGAATTAATTCAAAGGTTAGCAGGGCTTGAACATTTTGAAACTGGTAGTGAGATGGGATGCAGTATGTGTATTTCATGTTTTTCCAATATTTCAAAATGGCTTTCCATGTAACAATGCTTCACTACATGAAGAGGGGGTCAAGTTGTGAAATGAGTATCAGTCAATAATTCAGTCGCATGTGCTGAAACATAAAGAAGAGTATGAATCTGTGGATGCAGTGTTGTTTGGTAGTTCATTATTAGGGTTTGACTTCCATTTAATTCATATGAGTCTATGCCAGAAATGGACTATAAATAAGACAACAAGTGTAGATCTTAGAGGCATTTCGGTAACATGAAGGTCCAGTAATTATAAGTTCTTGTTTCAAAATCAAAGTGATGTTGTTTGTAGATTTTGTATTAAATAATATCAGTTGGTCAAGATATTTTTTTGTGTTATGATCAGTGTGTAAGGACAAAGCATGCAAAAACAATTATACATCTAAATAACATAAATGTACAGGTTTTGAAACGGGATTTTTGTGCAAATAGCTATATATTATCATGTGCTTCACACTTAACATGTCTTTCGAATTTTCCAATCCAGGTTTCACTGCTATCATTTTCAATGTTAACATAGTCACAATATTCCTGAGTAGTGTTTTGATGGTTTCAATTGGTATTATGGTCACCATTTGACAAACCAGGCTGCACTGTAATCTTAGTCCCATCAATCTTTGTTGCTGTTGAATGCAAAAAAATGTTGCAAATTCTTCTAAAGTTGCATATTTGCAAACTTTTTTCTTTCCATGATGGGCCGATGAGCCCTTGACATTCAGAAAGATAAAATTTTAACTAAAACGTTTTATTTCCAATTCATAGGTTTATGCAGAAGTCTGTGATAAGTTGTTACACCTTTTGTTTCATCCTGATCAAGGTAGACCTTTTGGAGCTCAACTTATTATTCCAAGGAATAATCAATTCCAAAAATAATGGAAATTTAAGACTCAAAGTGACGTTATTAGCTTCAGAGTAACAAAAGATGCAATTATCTGACAAATTTTTATACAAACTTTAAGCATGTACAGTGATTTGAGAAAAATTAAAGAGTAAAGCTATCAATTTCTTTTCATTAATAATTGGGCAAAGAGAAAATCAGGCGGGATTTCACATTAAGAAAACACTGATACGGCTGCAATGGAAGCTGAAAATGTCACAAACAAAACCTTTTACTGTGAAACATAACTGAAATATTTATATAAATTGTTTGTAACTTACAGAATATCTTCAGTTATTAATATGTTCCCTTTTGCCCATGCCATTATGAAGCAAAAGAGGGTTTGCAAACATACACTCTTTAAATACATTTCTGAATCTTTTTGAGACTCTATAACTAAAAAAAATCAAGGTTGCATGAAATGGGATGGAACAGAAGGTCTGTGACAACTTATTATGCAAGTTTATAAGAACACACAAATTGGAAATAAAAGGTTTTTGAAAAACTTTTGTACCTTTCAGAAAGTCTACAATCACTTACACAACCCCACACAGATGGAAAGAAAAAAGGTATACAAACATAAAACTTTAGAAGAACCTGGACCACTTTTTTTAGCTCTTCATCTCACACAACAACAAAGATCAAGGCCGCAAAAAACAGAGGGGCCTAGTATAGGGTCGGTCAATCCCAGCATTCATTCTGACCCCAGTGATAAAGTTACATATCAATCTGTCACAAACCATTCATTCTACCAGCAAAAGACCTGAAAATTCAGGAAAAAATGCACTTCAGGACACCATACATCACCATACACCTTAAGCTTGAATGTTTCAATTTACTACACTTCTTCTTTTAAACTGTAACAACACTGACTCTGAAAAGCTGGTTTACTAACTCAGAACAGACTCCCTTCTTCAACAGGTGTCAACCAATACCAGCACCATACAAACAACTCATTCATGACATTAATATTACCATAGAACTGAACAGAATGACCCAGCTTTACTGATGGTTTGAGACCACGACGCCATTGCCACCTGCAGCAAAAATTTAACTATTACAAGAATTACTGGTCGCTAGCAAAATAATGCTTAACCAGTTGCAAACTGTCTACAACACTGTCTTTATTGAAGTTGTGATAGTGGAAGACATGGCAGTCTAGTGGTAAGTGTGCTGGACTCTGGTGTGTACAGGTCTGGGTTGGAGATCTAGAGCCTATTTCTCGAGGGTCTCAGTAACTACATGTAAACAGGCCCATCAAGCTCTTCTGTTTTCATTAAAGATGGGAGTTTCACATGCTTTGAGAATTATATAAAAAAAACTATCAGCTAAAGAAACCAAGTGGACTGGTTAGGGTGTCAAAACCTGGTTCCCCATTTCTGAACTTTTGATTTTAAGATATGGCATAAGGCATGTTGTAAATGGGTA